TCTTGAAAGTTGCTTCTCTGTTCTGGCGTGGCTTGTTTCCAATTAAATAACATAGTCTGACAGCCTGGGGCTCTGAGCTTGTATTCAAACCAATCAAAAATTATTTGAACTTGTTTGTGATCAGTAACGATTGATAGGGATTCTGAGGTTTTTGCACTAAGGACTTTGGATCCGAGATGGTTTGTGCACCAAATTTGATCAATTCTTGATGCACTAGTTTGTATTATATAAATAAATTTGCTTTCTCTATTTAGGACTTTTATGATGTCCATCCAATTGAATAAATAATTGTAGATCATTTTTTTAATGTTTGTTGTTGGTGTGTTGATGGATGGAGTGCCTGTAGGGTATGAGTTGAAGTCACCTGCCAATATCTGATAGGTTGATCCTTTGAATTTTCTTAAGTGCTTTACAAGTGATTTGGTCACTTTTTTCCTTTCACTTGTCTCATAAGGCAAGTAAACGGCTGTAACAATTAAGTCAATTTTCGGTTTGAATTTCAGGTGGGCTGAGCACCAGTACTCATTTTCTGCATATGTCACAAAGATGTGATTGACTAGATCATCACCTACAATTAGGCATGATCTATTTTTTGATGATGCTGATAGTGTACTTGCAATGATGGTCATGTTATTAAGCTTCTTTGAAAGGGGATTAGTTGTGGAGACTTTGGTTTCAGAGCAATACATTATTGACCTTTCATTTGTGAGGTCATGTGTAAGAGTTGTTAACTTTGATCTATCATTGAGGCCTCTAACATTTAGTGTTGTAATGTTGAGAAAATTTTTAATTGTGATAGTGGTGTTGGTGTCAGGAGTAGTATTTTATATGAAACTGTTCAATGAGTGTATATAGTTGGATGAGCTTCTCATCTTAGAAAATAAATGGGATAGGATCAAAACCAGGCTCCGGTAAGTCCTTTGCAAGTATATATTCATCTGGTAGTCTGTTGAAATTGTAGCTCTTGTGAAGTTGAGTGATGTAGGTTGGTAAGTCGTCATCATCTCTGAGAGGGAATTGAATGTCTATGTGATTTTCTTGATTAAATTTGTTCAGTTCTTCAATTGAGAGGAGAGGTGCTTTAGGAGCTTTTAACCAGTTTTCTGGCAGTGTAAGAAATTCTTATCTCTGGTCGAGTTTTCTAATTTTCTCTTGGTATTGCTCATCCCTATAGTCCAGGAAGGTGCCAATTCCTAATGAGACATCTAATTCACTGATTTTACTTGGCAGTTTTTTCTTATTAGTTTGCGAAATTGCTGGGTCGATCCATGCTGGGCCAAGAGAAAGGCTAAATTTGAAGTTACTTCTTAGATGAGCGATTAAGGCCATTGCATTTTCTTTGGTATTTGCTAGGATTGGAATGTCAATTTCATCTAAGAGTGGGTTATGGGACCTGGGGAGAGGTCTTTTGTACTTGTAGTAATCTATTGGCAAGGTAATAAGCTTGTACTCCTTTCTCAGTATATCAATAAGTTTGCGTGTGTCCATTATCATGGGGTCATGCGGAAAGTATGTTGCTAAATGAGATAGGAGAAGTTCGTACGATGCTGGCAGAGGTTCCTTTAGGGGAGACAGATTGAAATACAATTTGGGTAGTTTTTGTGGAACTCTATAGTACTTTTTCAATTCTCTAGCTTTTCCGGCAAGCGTTTTAAGGTCCTTTCTTTCAACAATGGAAAACAGTGGTCTGGTCGCTTCGTTAAGTTCCTCTGGCTTCTCTGGGAGTGGAGGAGGATTGTAGAAGAATGAATCCAGTATGTGCTCAAACTTATAGTAGGTGTGTAGGACAGAGAGTATTTTGGATAGATGTGTTTTTCCTCTCATTAGTAGTTGGCATGGTAATCTAATTATAATGTTCGATGGGATTTGATTAAAGGATTGGGGCAGTGGAGGTAATGGCTCATATAGTGTTTGTTTACAGATGTCTAATACTTCGATATAGTCCAATGTCTTGTCATTATCTTTAATAAGATAGTTGCAGCCATATTCAAGAAGCTGTGCTACTTCATAGTATTTGAGTTTTAACAGGTTTGTAAATCTGAGGCAGGCAACGAACAGGATTGAGTTTAAAAGCCAGCGGATTTTCCTTTTTGTACTTCTGTTAATGTATCTTAAGTCATTTTGTCTCTTGTATTTGATATGTGTTTTCTTTTTGAGTGCCTCGTATTCTATTTAGTGGTTGCCTTTAAGATGCTCATTTTTAGTAAATGATCTGAAAAAGGATCTGTCTCTGAGTAGAATCTTAATAAAGATGGTGAATTGCGGCTCTTGAAGGATTGAGACTTTGGGCTTATTGGTGATTTCTTTGAGAGTGTTCATGACTTCTTGGGCATTTGTACAGCAGTGACTTAATTGTGCAACCAAATCAATGATTATATCGTGCCCACTAACAAAAGGCTTATCTGTATTAATGGACTGTTTGGTTGAGTCCTCATCTATTATCTGCTGGATATTGGGGTTGCTTTTCATAAGTAGATTGATTACTCTTTGCTCTCTTGGATCTAGTGGTTGCAAGGTTGGTGAGGTTGTTATGCTATTTGAGGTGGTTGATGACTCAGGTGATACTAACAGATTACTTATAAGACTTGTTTTCTTATTTGAAGGAGTTGCAATATTATTATTTTGTATTGTTGAGTTCAGGTCTGTGGTTTCTGGCCTAATGGGGTGATCCAATAATGAGTTTTGAAGTTCTTCCAAGTCTATTTGCACTTGTCTATTGAATTCCGCTAATGATTCTATGTTTTCTATTGAGATATCCTGTCCCATGGGATCCATGGAAATGTCAATCGTAGATACTGGACTTGTTGGTCTGATTGTGCTGCCAGATTTGTTCTGATTGGCATCAGGGGTAATTGCATGTTGATAGTCGTCAACTTGCATCATGTTATCTGCTTCTTGTTGATTGTGTGATATATTGTGATTATTAGGCGCGCTTGTGTGCATGACTTGCGCATTTGGTGCTATTGATAAGCTTTGTTGATCATTTGTAGGGGATGAGCTGTTTGTGGTTTTTTGGGCTTGAGAATTCTCAGGTGTGGAAGAGAAACTATTAGCAATATTGTCTAATGACGGCAAAAGGTTTTCCTCTTGTACTGAAGTGTTTGATAGAGGGTGAATAAATGAGTCTAATACCTTTTCTAATTGAAATGTGCTGTTCTCCTTATCTATGATGTTAACTTGGTTCCATGACAAGTGCCAATTGTAGTTGAGGTTGCTGCTGATAACTTTTTGAGCTATTTGTTCTCTGTCGGCCTGACTAAGTTTGTTGCTGTCCTGGTATTTGAAAAACTCCTCCAATTAGGAGCTGAACTTCTTTCTTGGTTTGCTGGCTGTTACTATAATAAATGCTTAGTAAGTTGCTCTGGTAGTTTTAGAGGTACTAAACTCAATATATATTGTTGGGATATCATCCTGGACTTGAGAGGAGCTTTCCTGGACTGGAATAATCCAATATTTGGGGAAGCTGATGAGTGGTGGAATGGATATGTTTTTTCCTGAAAGGGAGACTAGAATAGTACGCATATTTATTTCCATGTAGACTACAGCAAACAGAAGTTTGCTTGGGTTGATGAGGATGATGTTCAAGAGAGCATGTATTGGGTCTAGAGGTTTTACCTTGGGGGAGGAGCTCCCAAGGATGCTTGGCTTGTTTTTTCTTAAAATTTTTCCTGATTACCTAAAAAGAAAATTTTTAAGGAATCTGATACATTTGGGAAAGAGTTTTTTTTTTAATAAAATTGTTTTTTATATTTATTTAATAATAATTTTATATAAATAATAATTTTTTTTTGTACTGTGGGTGTGAGTCACCTTTGTGATAGTACCTGGTATTAATAGATTAGTTGCAGTACATTACAATTAATTTATTTTGTAAAGATTGTTAATGTAATAATAGTAAATTTTTATTTAAATAAAGTCTTGCATTTAATGCTTATTCACAATAAAAAAAAAAATTCTTTTTTTATTTTACTTTTTTTTTAATAAAAAGCAATTTTTTATTATATTTTTTAAAAAGAAAATTTTTAATTAAAAAAAAAAAGAAAACTATTATTTCAATGTTTAATAATTTAAATTTTAAAAAAATTTTGTTGAGCATAATTTTTAATTTTATATATTTAAAGTTTTTTGTTTTTTATTAAACAATATATATTTAAATAAATAAAAATTTTATATTTTACAGTATATTAAAAAATAAATTACAAATATTATTGTATAAAATTCAAATAGTTTAGAATAAATTATATTGCAATATATATATATATATATATATTTAATTAAATTTCATAAAAATTTCATAAATTTTATTTTTTGATTTTGGGAAAATTATTTATAAATAAAAAATTTTTATTAAATAATTATATTAAAATTATAAAATTATTTTTAAATAAAAAATTGTAGGTTCTTAATTATTTAATTAATATAATAATATTGAAGTAAAAGATAATTAATTTTTTCAAAAAATTTTGAATCACCCTGTAAGAATGAGTAGCGGGAAAGGAACTTCCATCATACGGGTTAGGGCTCGGCAGGCATTTATGCTTTATTCCTCAATCATTTATATCGTTTAATTGGCCAGCCTCTTACCTTCTCAATATTCATCCTACAAATTCAAAGAAACAAAGCTATGATTTGACCTTTTAATTATTGTATACGTGCTGAATAATTTTTCTTCGTTATTTTTTATTTCGCTGGAGATCGAGTTATACAAGGAAGCTGACGTTTAAGTTATCGGAACCAGTGAAAGTGAGGGTAATAGAAAAGTCGGGTTAGATGATCGTGTATATTAGTGGTCATCATCATGTATCCCGCGAACTTAATAAAAAATTTTTTGACGCTGAAATAATATACTGCTCCAATGACATCGATGTCACGTCTAAATTTACCTGATTAAAGTACTTTGATTTTTTTTTTTCGTGAAATCCTTATTCACTTTGTTTATCTTTTTCCCCGAGTTATTATTTTTCCATAAACTTACTCTGGACTAGGATATTACTTTCTTAATGTCGGACAAATATTTCGATAGTAGTTCAGCCAAGTGGGGTATCCAGGATTTTTTGAACAGCTCTGATAATGAAGCATTCGATGTAAAGATAGATTTTTACATAAAGACTCTTCCCGGAGTGAAAAAGCACGATTGCTTCTTGATCAATATAGGAGCGTAAGTGATTTTTTTATTTATTAAGAAATGTAAGAAAAAGTGACGTGGCGGGAGCTTACTGGGTCTTCGTCATTCAAGGTTACTGGCCGAGTCACAATACTAGTGCTAGGGCACATGTAGCTTACTGGGTTGCCGGATCATTACTAGCACTAGTCCCATTGGGGCAACAGGTGGCTTACTGGGTTGCCTGATGTTCAAGATTACTAGCTGACCCGATGAGATGGGATGAAAATTGATAAATTATAAGGATTCCAGTTAATTCCAGTTACTAAATGCCTCAAATATTTCGTCCTAGGGAAATGACCGTAAACTTGCTAAATATTGGGAGGCAACACGTAGATCAGGCATAAAGTATAGCGAACCATTAATTAACGTCAATAACATTAATAATTCCATTTTTGTAAGTGGAGGTGGAACCATAGGATTCATAAACAGCGGAGTTAACAATAACAAAACCTTACCATCTAGGAAAAGATATCAGGAAGAGGTACGAGTGAATGTTTTTTAGCTAGAAGTTGAGCCGAACTAATTATTTTGTGGTTTAATACTATAGGACGACACGCCGTCGCGTCACGTACAGTAATTAGTATATTATGAGATCGTCGGTGGGAAAAGTTAGAGGTGGGCAAATTAAGGCGTAAGAAAGTTTAATGGCGGAAATTTCTAGAGTAGTGTAGAATAGCGATCAAATGTAAACATGTAAATAACTGGCGCATGTATAAATACATGCGCAATTCGGTAGCATATAGTGAGAAGTTTAGTTTAGAGTTAGTAACGCCTTAAGTAATAAACAATCAAGTAACGTTTGACGGATAAACTCTAACCTTGTGTTTAGTGTGCAAAAGTAGACTTGTAACTTGGGCCACGCGACTACAAGAGAGAACCGAGGGTTGCCTAAGGGAATTGGCATTGGAAGGGTTCTAGGTCAGTCGGCAGAGAAGTTAAAGTGAGAAGAACAGCCAAATCGGAAACACGCCTCAAGAGTTAGAAGCTTACCTTATTGTTAAACGAAAGCGACGACAAGTAGTGTGGGCTTGCCGGAGAGCCCACGACAATATATTTTATGGAACACAAAAAATCTCTAGTGTATATAATAAATTGCTTTGTTTTACATCTACTCTAACTACAAATCGGCTGGAGACGATCAGCTTCTTAATAGAAGTGGCAAATAAGATATACTGTATACTATTATTATATTAATAAAAAAATATATTTGATTATCAAACTAACCATATAAATGCTTTTATCCTTACATACAGTATATAAATCACGGAATTCAATCCAATATTATATTTAGTGTTGGCTTTTTGCTTAATAGGAAGTGGATTGATTCATCAGAAATAAACGGACATTTCTTTGCATTGGGAACTAGTAAATTTGAACAGTGGCATACAATTTCATATATCATTTTATCAGTGATATAAATATATTGAAAACCAGTAATATGAAGACTACTGTAATAAGTCACCATCCATCAACGTTTAAAATTACTAATTTTGGTAAGGCATGACCTTATATAGTTTCCGTCGAATCAAATGCACGATTAAATGCATACAGGTACAGTACTTAATCAGAGGTATACTTTTTTTTTTTTCTGATTTAATTTTTAACATTATGTTTTCGGAGGTGGTAGAAGAATTCAAGGAAGCGGCTAAAGGTTAATTTTCAATATGAGCAAAAGTGAGACTAAATATTATAACATTCTTGCTAATTTTAAAATTATATTTTATAGATGGTAAATCGAAACTAGATATTTCTTTTATTTTGTAAATTATATATGAAATCTGATTTCATAGAGTCTTGTTCTTCTTGTTGTAGGCGGTGAGTTGAAATCAGGATAGTTTTTTGCAATATCACATATAAAACCAATTAATTGTATAAGCTGCCTTTTTATAGGAAGTAAGTGAATCGGGATACTTCTTTTTTTTAAAAAAAAAATTCATGGATAAGTTTAATTATACCAAACGTTGACTTTCACAGTGAGTAAGTTGAAACCAAGATATTTCGTAAAATTACATGCAAATTAGGTTGAACTGTATTTATTGATTATTGACATTATAGCGCGTAAGTTAAATTCAGATTCGTTTCGTAAAAATCACATGAAATGAAAAAATTAATTCTATTAATCTTAGGGAGTAAGTTGAATTCGAGATATTCTCATTATGCGTTTCGCAAAATCAATTGCATTGATCATTAAAATTTTATAGGACGTAAGTTGAACCTAGGATGTTTTCATTTATTGTTTCACAAATCTTATTTATTTGTATTTACCGTCGACTTTGTAGCAAGTAAAATCATCTTTTATTTTGTATAACAATGACCCAAGAGATTTAATTGTATTGACAATCGACCTCTATATAGGCATTGGTAAGTTGAGCCCAAGTTATATCTGTTATATATTTTGTAAAATCATGCGAGATAAGATTATTTGTAACATTTTTCTAGGCTGTAAGTAAAATCCAATAGTTTTATTTTTTATTTATTTCATTTTGTAAAATGATGAAATGGTATTTAATTGTATTAATTATTGACATTTATAGTATGTAAGTTAAAATTTCTGAATATTTTCGAGTATTTTTCATGAAATGAGGATTACAGCACGTCTGTTCTTTGATGTAGCACAGCGTGAGTTGAGTCTGATATTTTTGCGCTTTTATTTTTAACATTTATTTGCAAAATATTTTGCATTCTGTAAAAATCATGATTGTATTGATTGTTGTTATTATAGAATGTAAGTTGCATCCGGATATATTTATTGCGTATTTACCTCATTAAATAATGAAAGGATATTTAATTTTATTCTCTTTGTCATCATAGCTTGTAAGTTGAATCCAGAATATTTTTGTTATTTGTTTGAGGAAGAAATATTGATAGTATCTTTGCTATTATACGTAGATGGTATGTTGAATCGGATATTTGTTATTCATCTTTTCGTAAAATCCTATGAAATCATTTAAATCGCCCTCGAAATTTATAGCTGGTAGTTATAATTCATTATGTTCTTTGTCTCGTAAAGCATTTATATTGTAATTTGTTTGATCGTATCTGTGTGTTATTTTTAGAATGTAAGTTAAACACAGCACAGGAGGGTATTTTGGTTGTAAATCTTGTAAAGTATAATTAAATTATCGTAAATTTTACAGGGGGTAGGTATAAACATGATCCATTCTTCGTGTCGTAAAATTAAAGTATATAAAATGGGTCTAATCATTACCCGTATTTTCTTCTTCTTTTTAGAATGTAAGTCAATTACATGATACATTAGTTATTTTCTTATTTTTCTTATAAATCTTATGCCATAAATAAATATAGTCGAATATGGGATGGGTAGGTGTAATTCATGATATATTTGTCATTAGTCTCGTAAAATAACAAATGGGTTTAATTGTGACCATGATGATTATTTTTTTTAGATTGTAAGTTACATACGGGATACTTTTATTGATTTTTATAAAATCATAAAATATAATTGTATCGATGTTCTTTGCTATTATTGTAGACAGTAAGTTAGAATCAGAAGTTTTTATTATCTATTGATGAATCGCATGGGTGGAATATTAATTACATTCTTTTTCTTCTTTATCGTAGGGGGTTAAGTAAATTTCAGTTTATGTTTATATAAAAACATTAGGCATTAAGATTTACTTGAATCTTGGATACTTGCTATTATAGATTGTAAGTGAATCCAAGATTTTTCTCATGCGCTTTGTAAATCACATGAAATGAGACTGAATTATATGACTTTGAATTGCTATCATAGATTGTAAGTTCAATTAAGGATAAATTTTATGGGATAAATATAATTGCAGTATATTAACCATCGAAATTATAGGTCGTAAGTTAAACTCGAGATATTTTTTGTTCGCAAAACTGTACGAAATTATTGATAATCGACTTTTTTAGTGAGTAAGTGTCCAATATATTTTTTGGATGTGAAATTTAATTGGTTATAGATCTATTAGTTAGCTCGTGATATTTTTAATATTAGCGGAAAGTAAGTAAACCTAGGGAATTAATGTTTGTTTTTTTCTGTATAACGATGAGCGAAAGAAAAGAGTAAAGTTGAACGTCAATTTTTATAGCACGTAAGTTGAATCAGTGAAGCTTTCGTTATATTTATGAAATCACAAAAGGTTTAACTTAATTAATGTCTTTTGTTCATTACAGTTGAAGGTAATCTATATCTAGAATACTTATGAAATCATGAAATGCTTTAATTTGATATCTTCTTGTTTATCCTAGCAGAAGGTAATTTTCCTCTAGAGTATTTTCTAATATAAAAATAAGTATCCTATTGTTCTTTGTTGTTATAGAATGTAAGTCAGCCAAATTCAGGACATTTTCATTATTTATTTCGCAAAACGTGTAAAATAAGATTTAATTATACTTTCATTTGCTTTATAGATGGTAAGTAAGTTGAATTGAGGATATTCTTGGTGTTTATTTTAAATTCATCAAATTGCATTTAACTATCATAGGAGAGAAGTGTAACCAATGTAATAAGAAGACAGCAGATGATTATTGGTGCCAACCTTGCAATTCATTTCGTTTTCAACAAGAATTTGATAATCGGAAAAGTGGAGTCGAACTTGTTGACGCATTTATAAGAGAATTGCAGATAACGGAAACTAGTAGACACAGAGTCCTCGAGTGGATTCCATATTCAAAATTAATTAATGTAACAAGTGTTACTAAGGGTGGTTTCGGTGAAGTATATTCGGCTGAATGGACTGAAGGAAAAATCCTTTATTGGGATGCAAAAAATGTTCAGTGGAAAAGGAAAGGGAATAAGAAGGTCGCATTAAAATCTCTCAATTGTTCACAAGATATCACTGCCAAAACTTTAAATGAGGTGATATAACTAATTACAAATTATCTCTCTATCTTCTTTGCACGTTGTTGCAATAACTAATTATGTTCATTACTTAATATTATAACTATCGATGAGTAAATTTAGATAAGAAACATTTTCGATCACAGTAGCAGCTTGCCTTATATCACATGCTACTATGGAATCACGCGGCATAAAAAAACGAAAAGTTTTATGATTGTTATGCAATTCATCGAATATGGAGATATTAGAAATAATCTTGCTGAATTTCGTAAAATGTCGTTTGAAGGGAAATCCATTGTGCTACGACACATTGCAAAAGGACTAAGCAAAATACACGAATTTGGATTGGTCCATAATAATCTTCATACTGGGAATGTTCTTTTATCTGATGACGGAATTCCTTATATAACAGATTTAGGTTTTTACAAACCGGATTTTGAATTTACCGGTGAAGCCGGAGAGCAAAAAGTGTATGGCGTACTCCCGTATATAGCTCCCGAGGTTTTACATGGGAAGAAGTATACGAAAGCAGCAGATATTTATGCATTTGGAGTCATCATATTTGAAGTGTTATCTGGCATTATTCCCTTTCACGATATTCCACACGATAACGATCTGGCAATCAAAATCTGCAATGGATTTCGGCCCGTTATTCCTATTCACATGCCTGGTCT